AAGTTAGATAGGCGTAATTTCAAGAGAATAGAGAAGTAATCAAGCGGAGGGTGGAGAATATTGAAAAGAGAGGCGTCTAAAGCGAGAAACATGCTCAATCATCCTACTGCTGCAAGTGGTGGAAGTATCTCAAAGTATGGATCTATATTCCAAGATATAACGTACAAGGGAGAAAAGAGAGATTTGAAGGAAGAAAGGAGACGGAATTATTACAAATATAATAAATATAATATAAAATGATAAGTGAATGTGATAACTAAACCGTAGACCAATAGATTAATTTAAATAAATTATAGCAGATATGTTTTATTGAATAACGTTTTTTTTTAAATTTAAATTCTATTTATTATTATTTTTTTATAATAAATATAATATAAATAATTAATATTTTAATATTTATATTTTATTTTTAAACAAATTTATAGAAAATTGTGAATCGACGGTTAATTGAAATAAAATAAGTATCGAGTACCAGATTCTGAATTTTGGATATCGCTCATCTAAAATCTTTAATTTTTAAACAAAGGTACTGAAAATTGAAAATTGAAAATTATTATCGTGTGTTAAAAGTCGAATTCTAAATTGTTTAACATTTATTATAAGCTGAAGATCTATATTTTTGATTGATCAAGACAATTGTAAAAGCACGATAAAAAGTATAATATCTTCCCTAATTATCAATATGGTTTTATTTCAAAATTTATAATTTTATTAAGGTATTATATACATACCCTCACACAAAAGAATTATATTGTTATACCTCCGTTAATTCCGCCACCGTCGCTGCCGTTAACTGCAGCTGCGTTTATATTGCGATAGTAAATAATAATAATACTATTGCTGATAATAAAATAACGAGATAAAAATGTACTAAAATAAAAATATTTTAAGTACCTCTGAGACGTACCTATAATACTGCATACCGGTAATGGTCCCAGACGACCGAACGTCAGACATGTTTAATCCTAACCTCGTCGGACGTGAAATGGAGCACGCTGTTAACAATTTTTTATCTAGAATAATCTATAAAAGTATAAAATATTATATATATACTATTTAAATTTATATTTATATATTATGTCTTATCCAGATAGATGAGAAATTAGTTACCTGAGCTATTATTTAATATAAATTATTTGATGATCTAGATTTTAGACAAATCTTTATAAATCTTAATTTATGTATTTATTAGAAATAATAAGTGAAACATTTAGGTTATATGTTAATAAATTAATTTTAAAATTACATCAATTACACAGTGTTTATACGAAATCTGGTGCCCTTTTATTTTATTAAGATTTTTCATGAACAAAATTATTTTATTTTTATATAGATAATTGATTTAAAAATAACTTATTCTTATTATCTAGATATATTAAAATGTATCTTTACACAACACTTAATGTTGAGAATGATGAACAGTCGGACACCCATTTATTTATGTCGTTCGTAAGAAAATCTACATCTAGTTGTTATTATTATTTATATGTACAGAACAATACAGCCACGGTGATGGTCCCGTCATTGACGTAATTCTCCTCAAATTATTCTCCTAGTCAAATTTTACACCACTTTCAGTTCTCCAGTATCATGTGGATTAATAATCACTGGCATACGGGCACACTAATGGTATATATAGCGAATAGGTTTGGTTAGGTTTTAATATCAACTCAGTATATCAGTGTATCAGTCTAATACCCAATTTTCTCCGAAAGTAAACTTTAAACAAAAATGTATTATTAAAATAGGCATTCATTAATTCAACGAAAAAATAAATTTAAGAACTACGACAACAATGAAATTTTGTTTGAAAATTTTAATGTGAATGCATTCATTAATTGTATAGAACTGTAGACCAAAATGTTAATATGTATAATGTATATTTTGTATAGTTTTGTATTCTGTTTTTTTTAATTTAATAATAAGAATTATTTTTCAATAACAAAGTGCTAAAATCAATAATATTTTATAAGTAATTTACTAGTATTCCACTCGCCCGTACCAAACATATCGTGCCTATATAGATTAAAAAATTCCGATTTTCCGATAGGCCAATTCAACCCAAATCATCCTGTAGCGCTATGACGGAGTTGAAGTGCCGTAGAAGCACGTACGTTTTTAAAGTCATATTATAGGTAATTATAGGTATATAATAGTAAACCAGATTGCAAAATAATGCCTTTGCGGCGTCGTCAGTGACAAGAAAACAATAGTGTTTGCGTTCTATATCTTAGCGTTTTCATTAACCAAACGCGCTGCTCTATGCCGGCGACCCCCCGAGAAAACTGCACCGTGTACCATTGATAGTGTACGATATTATATATTATATATTATTAACTAGTGAACCCGGATGACATTTAAGTCCGACCTCTAATCTACTTTTACACTTACCGGTGGTGGTGTCACCAGCGGGCACTCCCCTCATTAATTTTATATTCTGAACGTGACATGGTCACGTGGCTATTATATATTAATAATAATAATATATAGTCTTGTGATTTTTTGATGATTATTTTTCTCCCGTACTTATCTCGTGACCCTGTTTCGGTAGGTAGGAAGGTAAACCATTTCTGCCACTGAGAAATCAAAAAGTTTCGCGTGTAAACTTCGAAGACGGTGTGGAGTAGGCACTTATTTCGAGTTTTGCTCGGTACGTAATCTAATTATTTCATATGGATTTAAATTGATATTTAAAAAAAGGATGATACATGTTAAACCGTTAGTAACAGAGAGCTATAATTACAAGAGTGTATAATAAGTCTCATTTTTCTCTAGTTGTTAAGGTAACTTAGAAATCAACAAAAATAGTACAAACAATTGTCGGTTTTTCTTCTAATAAGAAAATAAGAATGTAAAAAAAAAACATACTCAAAACGGTATCTTGATAATAATGCTACAAACAATTGTCTATTAGTGGATATATAAATATTTAATTAAATAAATAACGTTTGAAAAAAAAAATATCCAAAATCATATTGTTTTCGATATCTTCGTATGTAGGTCCATCAATAGTCCACGACAAATAATCTCCCTGTACATTATTTTTAAAGTTATTTGACGTTTTAATGCGTATGACGTACATTTTGTATTAATAATTTAATATTTATAGGGGTAAACCATTGTTGTTTATCCCTTAATCAGACGAGTTGATAGAAGTAATAATTATTGTTCTATATATATAATGAATATTATATAGTATTTGCGAAACATGTACTCGCCTAAAACAGTGTATATTGTCCAAAGGGTGAAAGATTTTTATTAAGTGCAAATTTCCCAGCAACATACAAACACACTCACACACCCATACGCATATTATGCTAAGTGGATTTCGATGTCATTGGTGAGCAGCTTATATTTATACATATATTATAAGCCCGATAAACTTGTATCCATTTGAATTTGACACACTATTTGCGGCAACGACGATGCGTTTGGGATTTTTTCAACGGGTCGTCTGTCTAAACTAAACTAAACTAAAAAAAAAAAATAAACGAAAATAAGGCTTAATGATGGAAAAAGTATAAAAAAAAATGTACACTATAATGTATATTGTATTGAATTATTATGCATAGCGTGCTCGAAAACCGTGTCTGTACATCGAAACAGCTGCCTCGTTTTTCGCTATTCCCCACCACCCCTATGTGGTGTTCGAAAACGAGTTATTTCAAATATTCTGTTACTGAAATGAGTCGTAACATTCAAAAGCGATTCATTCATTCGGAACCGATTTCGGTTTACGATAATATTAAATTGCACTAACACAATCTGTGTACCATATAACAGTAGTCTCAAAGAACATCAATAATATAGGAAGCAAAATTAGAAGTCTAATATGTTTAAAAAGGAATACGATCGTACTCTAGAATGAATCTTTAGAACACTTGATGCTAATATGAGTAATATAGTACTATAGTTTAAATACTTGACAGCAGTCCTCAAAAGTTCTACTATCGGATGTTTATAAAACCTTGGAAAAAATATTACCAGACTGTAATAATTCGGGAAAAAAAAATGTGTAACTATAATATAGCAAGAGTGTAATATATTTCTTTATTTATTTAGAATTTCTTTGTTAATTTATGAGGGCTATGCCTTTATATGCCTTTTAAACAGTGTTTTAAAGTATTGAAGTATTGGTTTTTAAATATTTTCCAAGTATTAAATAAGTATTTTAAATACTATTCATTTATAAGTATTGAAATAATTTTAAATACTTTTTACAGTATTGAATACCTACTGGAGTATTGAATACTTACCTTCAAATACTTTTTCTGAATTTTCAATTTAAATTATTTTGGAATTGTCGTTAAAATATACGATAACGACTGAAATCATAATATAAATAGTACAATATTTTTAAATCAAACATTTGTATTAGTAGTCAAATATAGTAATCATAAACATTTATATAATTTTATCTGGCTTACCCAAAAAATATTTCTAACTACGCCTCTGGCTTATCAGTTATTATGTTAACCTAGCAGTGAATGTATTTTGGGTTTTTATTGAATTTTAAACAAATTTAAATTTAGTTGATAAAACCCTAAACAAAGCTCTATTTATAATTAAGATTTATAAAAAAAAAATGTGTATTGTCCTTTGTGTAATTATATAGTTATCATTAATATCATTAATATAGTTATGTAACTGGAAAAAAAATAGTATTTAAAATTGTACTCAAATACTTTCTAAAGGTATTTTTTAAAACACTGCCTTTAAACAAATACATTTATAAATACAGAAACATATAGAGCGAATAACATACTAACAAATAATAAAGAATTTAATATTTATGAAAAGTGTATACTAAATAATAAAAGAAGGGTCCATATTACTAATAGCTAACAAACGTTTAATAAACCCATTTTTAAATAAATGGTGTTGAATAAAAGGAATGTAAAATGATCATTTGGAACTTGTGGCAACTGATGAACTTTGATATTAATTAGAGAAAGCAAAGTTCGAGAATCTACTTTAATGGACAATAATTTTTTTAAAAATTTAAAATTCCACAAAAGCCTACGATCCAACAAGAAGTCTAATCTAAGCTGCGCAGTTATAGGAGCATAAACATGCTGATAATGTTAAATTTTAAGGGAAAACACAGCATAACTTATAAATTTAAGTTAATCTCGTTTTAACTGGACACGATCAGCTGCTGCGAATGGATCCCAAAACACAGAGGCATACTCAACAACTGAATGGCCCAAAGACCAATATAGTATTTTCAACGATACTTGGTGCCAAAATTCATTGGACAGCCTCATTATAAAGCCCAAAATATTAAATGCTTTGCATTATTTTGATTTGATATGTGCACTCAGATGCAGTAAAACATACAAATTTGTAATAATTCAAAAGTTGACATAAATTATTTATAAGTAATGAGAATAATAATAGAGATAAGTAGCCACTCTGTGGTACACCTGATAGGATAGAAAACTCAAGTAACCCAACCCCAAATACTTTCACAAAATGAAATCGATTAGTTCGGTAAGTTCTAAGCCATATAAGAAGCTGTTTAATGATCCAATTAGCCTCTTATATCTTGATGCACATTTGATGATTGCCGAGTCAAATTCTTTTTCGAAGTCTAATTAAATGACATCTACTCGCGAATGCTGTTAAAAAGCTTAGAAAACATATCAGTAAATACCAAGTTACAAATTATAGTAAAACGGTTTTCTAAAGCCATTCTATTCTTCCATGAGTATATAATTAATTAAGGGTCCAAGACTATCAAGATTTAAGGATTCAAAAAATGTTGAGATGTGAGATTGAATTGAGATTGGTCTCTAGTTTGATATAAAATCAAAATCATTAAACATGTGGATTGACGTTATTGAACATTGTTTTAACATTGATGTAAACATTTCTTCGTCAAATAAAATCCTCGTATAGCCATAAGGGATAAAAAATATCGAAATGTAACTGAAATAAGAATTCATCTGGTATACCGTCAGGACCTATTTAACTTATTGAATTACAATTTGCTCTCTATTGAGAAAAAGAGTGGAAGTCCAAAATATTTGGTGATGATTTCAAAATATCGTGAGTTTCTTTTTTCAAAAATATACTTTTGAGTTTTTAGTATACCAAGGAGGAGAATTTCAGTCATAGAAAATACATCATATTTGTAACAAATTGAAGTATGGCGGAAGGAAATACATCATAAAAGAATTTACACCGACTCAAGATCCATGTATGAGAAGGTTGACAACCAATTGTACAAACCAATAAATGCACAGATATTATTGTAATCAGCTCTGTGGAAATCAAAGAACTTGTGACTATGATCAAAGTTTGAAGTAGGCTAATCAAGACACATTATAATACTCAAAGCAGGGTGATATTTATTAAGAGGAACCAAAGATTTTAAAGAGCATTCGATCACAGTCTTTGAATCATTTTTCAAGTATTCTTATCTATATTATTTGAGCAAATAGTATAGCCGTGGTGGTTATACTCACACTAACACGTGCTAATAACTGAGAGCTTTCACATTATTATGCTTATCGATTATCATTACCTCTTTTTAATCAAATACAACAAATGTACATGTATAGGATAGTATAGCAGAGGGGATTCATGGTTCTCCAATGTTTTCGTTCATATACAGTTGACTGCTATCTAGGAGTACAGAGGTATTAAATTTCAGATATTCTGACGATATTACGGTCCGAGACTAAAATTTAACAGAGGTTTTATACTGCAATTTTAAATTTAAGTTATTTTTTGTCACCCTGGTGTACTATCCAATTCTGATTTTCAAATTAAAATTTCCATAAATAGATAATAATAGAGTAGTTTTTAAAATAAATTTTTGTGTTTAAATTTTTAATCTCCGTCAATCCATTGACGAGATATTTCACTTATAAGTTTGGATCGAGAGAGAGAGTAGTGATATATTATTAAAATGCCGCGCGTTGTGCCGTTATACATATGATGCTTCACTACTCTCCCCCGATAAACTTAAAAGTGGAATATCTCGTCAATGGGTTGACGGAAATTACAAATTTAAACACCAACATTTATTTTAACTACTTCTCTATATATTTATGGAATTTTAATATGGGTTGCCATTTTAAAATCAATTGGATAGTACTTTCACAAGCAAAAATTAGGTTGGCAAAAAATAACGTAAATGTAAAATTTTACAACAGCTTATTTCTTAAATGTTCTTTATGACAAATTTCGAAAAAAGTTAAAAATTTTCGAAATAATGAGTGTCTTATGATAGATTGATCACCCTGTATATAATATATAAATACGAATAACAATATTATTATTATTGTTACGACAATCGACTTATTCAACGGTTTGTTTGTCGGTGAGCCGTTTGTGATTGATGACTACAGCAGCTGCAGGTCGGTGTGATAAGTTGCGAAAAAGCAGAATAATTATTGTTTTGATGGGACCCCAGACAATTCGAAATCGCCGGCTAACAACGAATAATAATAATTATTTAAAATAAAATATTATAAAAAAAAATATATAATCGATGGATAGATCGTTAAGATAGCGTTTTAGGTAACAAATAAAAACTTTGGGTAATGGTAAAATCAAGATACTAACATGTGACAAACTATTTAGTATTAAACGAGCAAAAAGTTGAGCACCACTGATGCCAACTTAAACTGGTAAAATTTTCGTGGGATGTTCGGAGATTACAGTTTGAAACTGATTTTTGTAACATTATAACATCCGAATTAGGACATTTTGTACTTAGTGTTACGAAAATTCAAATTAAATAAAAGAACAGATATACTTCACACGATGGAAACTTACTCTCTTTACCTATATGCTCACTATTGTATATGAGAAACTGGGAAGATAAGTTAAAGAGAGGAATTTAATGTATATCTATATAAAACTGATAATCATTGATATATAATGAGAAACGATTTTAAAATCAGTTAAACATGTTTTAAAGGCCGTGATATTTAAGATTTTCGGAAAAAATTGATACTAAGATTCATATACAAAAAATACTATATTAAACTCTCAACTTTTTTTTTAATTTTATTACTAAGTATAGCTTGTAATCAATCTTCTTTAAACCTACTTTAAATTCTATCTATCAAATACAAATTACGTAAAAAACTCAAAAAATTGAAATGTCTATAATTAGTATAAAAATGACTAAAATATTTTAAAAATTGTACAGCGTTTCGAATTGGCAAATATTAGTTTTCTGTCCAAATTTCAAGTCTCTGTGAATATTTTTTTTGAATAACCATGTAAAACATAAATTTAAAATAATAAAAGCATTAATATTTTTAATTTTCTGTTTTTTTTTTACGGTTATATACCGGCTTTTTTCGATGATTTTAAAAACCACTTGGAAAATCAAAAAATGACAATTAGATAAAATTTTCTTTCAGAACAGATTCTACACTTGATACATCAGATTATGATTTCTAATAGAATTTTTGTACATAGTATAAAAAAAAAAAAAGACTTCCTAGGATAAATTTAGTATTAAATATTAAATTATGATAGACTAAATGTTGATAAATTAAAGTTTTTACATACATTAAATTTACGAGTGTTGCTCAATCAAAGTCTTATATTCCGGTTATTGTCAGAATGCTGGTTTACGTATTAATTGTTCTATAGTTCTACTGTACCGTCAGTAGAAATAACACAAAGCATTGATAACGAAATTTAACTGCACATATATTTTTACACGAAAATAAAGTGGCCTGTAATTTATTGAAATCTTGATAAAGTACATTTTTATCAACAGATAGAATTTAAAACATAGTTTATGGAGCATAATTTATTTTAATTCCAGATAAACGAGCAAATATTTGGTGCCACTTGGCGTAAGTGTTTACAATAATAGTATAATATTGGCATCGGTACACTTTATTATTTACTATCTCTTTATTTATCCCTATTTATAATATTGCTGTTTGGGTTTAAAGAATATTTTTTTAGGGGCCACGTATGTGCACCTACGTGCAATCCAAATATTCTTTAGATTTTCGATCCCTTGAGGTCAGATTAGGTCGAAAGGTTAACGGTCGGCTGCTCGTAGAATGTTCTGTGCTATACATACAACATATATATTTAGAGGAAGCAACCCGAAAGGCCACAAATGAGATTTGAAAGGGACGAGGTCAGCTGAACTCTATGGGTTCATATTTTTCACGGTGCATCTCATAGTTACATTTTTATATATTGATAGATTTATTATAATTGATGAAGGTTAGGAGGAAACCACCAACACGTTAGTTCTACGGTAAATTTTATAATAATGCGTGGCCACCTCCTTGATCAGGTTTTTATTTCCTCTCTTTGAGTAGGCATTTTATTATATTTGATACATGATACCATATGCTATTATAAGTATATTAAGTACGTTGATAAATAAAATATAAATCACTTAAATCTAAAAATTTGTTTTAGAATAAAAAGTCCCCACAGTGCATTTATATGTTTTTGTACTTAATTTCAAGTAAGCACAAAATTATATTTTGTCTACATTTTTAGTCGAAAAACACAGCTAGTATTATTATAGTTACTTTTTATTAACATAAAAAAAAGTAAAAAAAACTTGATAAGAGACTTTTTTTTTGTGTAACTGAAAGCAGTTTATTAAATGGAGTAACGATTTCCACGTGATAAATGGACCGCATTGGATCGCTAAAATCATACACAAACGGTACCCGTTACCGAATGTCAAATCGGAAGCGACAAATGGTAATCGCGGATAGGTACTTGGCGCATTGCATCACCAATTCGGTTAATCGCTAAACTGAAAAGGTTTACGACCCATCCAGTCACCAATTAAATGGTAGTTCGCGTCGTATTGATACGTTTTTGAGGGGTCACGAGTTCATGACATTCTCGGGAAGTGAACGATTTACGTGTTTTCAGGTCTATAGGCTACCAGTGTTGGAATGAGATAAGTACTTTTTTATCTAGATAAAAATGAAGATAACACGACAAAAAAAAATATTTACCGTTACAACTATAATGTTACTTGCATAACAATTACCAAGCTTGATTTACAATTGAGTTACATCATAGAACTGTACCAGACATATTTTTTTCATACTAAAATTCATCATATTGGTGATATAAGATAATAGAAATTAACTAAAAATATCTTTAGCTAGATGAACTTTGAACTTTGTTGGATACATTTAAAACCCTTTGCTAATTTACTATTTTCAAGGAAACCTATAAAATAATGATGAAACGGTATATTATAATTTTAATATTATAATAGATAGATTGATTAATTTAAGTATTATTTTGAAGTATAG